CTTTTTGTTAGATCTTAAGTAAAAGATTCATCTTTATTATGCAGTTGGGTTTTTGCTGGTGTCTTAAAGTGGTCCTTCACTGTGCATTAAGTATAATCAGACTGTAATTTATCTCTACATTTGTAAGCATAAGTTCTTGTTAAAACAGTTCTGTATATAATTTTTGCTAGATACGCTAACCATGGAAACTACAGGCAACAAACAACTTAAAATGAGCTATTTAGGATGAAATATCACTACAGCTACAACAAGATTAACAGATCAACAGCGATACTGCCATAGGACATACACAACAGATGCACCAGAACACAGTACCTGATCAGTAACGGGAATGGACTCCCATCTGCGCTTCAGTAAGTACAAAGATTTCCGGCTCATGATTTTGAGTTTGCTTTATCGGTTTTCCCTCTAGATAATGTGAAACCAATGGCAGGAATCTTATTTCTGATTCTTTTGTTCCATTGCTGTAAACTGCAGAGCTCCCAGAGACACAGAAGTTTTGCAAGCTGCAAGGTTGATACTGGTTTTGCCCAAGCTCCTTTCCATTTTTTAAGCGTCTGTCTCCTTATAGTGTCATGACAAACAGAATAGGGAGAGATATCAAGAAAGCCTAGCATTCACTGACAAATTACCTCACAGAAGCATGAAGTAGGTAGACAACACCAGATGCACTCAATCTGAAAATAGCTGTTGCTTAGGAACTGGAAGGGTAAAACGCAGCACCTCAGCTATATATAATTGAAAGCTTTTATATTTAAAGAGAATTAAAATCACTGGACTTGTGTGTTTTGCTCCATTATCATTTCATAATGATAAAAGAAGGACCACAGAGTCCTATGGTTATACCTGTGTGTTCAACAAGCCAAACATGGCTCGATGACAGCATCAAAATTATTTTAACAAGTAATTCCCATCCATGCAATGCCTTAAATAAATGATACACGTAAAGTGTTCTGTGATTCTCCAGTGAAAAATAATTTACAAGTACCAAATAGTATGATATATTTGATCAGCAGGTAATAATTAATATAATCTGCATACTTGAAATGTAAAGGGAGATAATGGTAAAATGAATTCCATTAGGTCACAGTTACCCATATTTTATATATAATATGAGAGAATATATATATACAGATACACACACACTGTCTTGTTGTGCCTAATTCATATTATATATATGAATGAGGCAGTATGGTTTAGTGGGCATCTATCTCAATATACAAAGGTAGAGATATACCAGTGATCTTCATGATTGCAGAGGGAGGAAAAAATAGGAAGTGTAACTTGGAATTATAATTTTGAATTTCTTAGTTTTGTATTGGGATAAGAACTCTAATTCTGTATTAATGTATTTGTATTTAATATTTTGTAAAGAAGTCTGTACAGTGGTACACCCCCCCCACCAAGTTGGAAAAAAAACTTTCCCATTCACATTAAATCACTGTCTGATTCTGATCAGATTTAATAATGTATTTATTATATGGGTTTTTAACTTTAGGTGTTCCCTTGATACCTGAAATTGACCATTCATCTGTTCCTCATAAGGCAACCTTAAAATTCCATCCAACTAGATGAGCTTCATATGCTCTAGTGACTGAAGTTCCAATATCATTAATGAAGGCTGGGAAAGACTAGGGCCTGCCTAGTCTAACCCAAAGAGGGGTAAGCCTTACAAATTAATGAATAAATATTTTTTTGAAAGGTAGAAAGCAACATGACATTGGCAAGAAGTACAGTAGCAGGTTTAGTAATGTAAAATCTTATGTCTTTTACTTGGCATGTTTACTTTTCATTCAACTATGGTGGCAAACAAGGAAATTAACTTCATTCACAATCAGGAATCGCCACAAGTGTAAATGTATTTTATGAACATCCAGCTCTGGCTAGCTAGGCCTTACCCTTTGCTTCATTCCCATAATGAGAAAGCAGAAAAGGAACATATTTTACACGCAAGTCATTGCAAAGTACAAAGCAGTATGGTTTATGCCCCATATCAAACACAAATCAGGGGAAACATGTCCAGTACTTGAAAAAGAATAGATTCTAGCAGAGTAAGAGAGCTTGTGATTTTATTTTAAAGCACGCAGGTTGTTCCAATTCTCTCTCCATTAAGGCACCTGGATAATGTTCCCTAAAAAAAGACAAATCTGAAATCCAGTGCTGTGATTTTTTATTCTTTTTTTATTCTCAAAGAATTAATAGTCTATTGGAGACCTTTTAATTGTACCTGTTTTATGACTGCTCTTTTTTGAAGGAACCTCTCCACTACACTGAACTACCATATGTGATGATTTGCATTTTAAGATTCACCCCCAATAATCAGATTTTATACATGGAAATTTTATAGAAGTATATAATTCTATAAATGTATAGAATGGTCATCTTAACTTCTTCCACCCACCACTGCAGCAGGGAAAGCAAAGGCAGGGGGCAAGTAATGGGGGAGACTAGGGATCCGACCCCCATCCCTTCTTCTTGTCCCCCCCCGCACTTAAATCCCCCTGTCACCTGCACTCCCCAACAATGCCTGCACCCTTGTGACACTTGCTCCCCTTTCTGCCCTTCTCCCCTCCCCTGCCTAGGACATGGAGTACATGGTGGCCCCAGCCCCTGCACAGCTAAAAAGCAGCAGCTGCTGCGGGGGTGACAGCTCAGGCCTCGGCCCCATCACCAAGCCCCAGCACTGAAGCCATGTGCTTCATGCCCCAGGCTGAAGCCACAACTGAGGCTAAACAGTGTGTGTGTGGGGAGGGCTGGCCCCTTGCCTTGTACATGAATTCAAGACAAGGAACTTCTTTTTGCCATGAATCCAATCCCTTGTGTTGCATTTGAGTAAATATGGTATATGGTGTCCAGTTAGGGGTCCAGTTATTCCAATTACATTAATTATTAAGAAGAGATTCCTCTATCTTAGAAAATCAGTAGTGGACAGGTTTCCTTTTATTAAGCTATTGTGAGTAGCCAAAACGGAATTAAATACATAATCTATTTCAAAATGCTATGGTATTCTGCATCAACAGATACAATCACTCCATCATCAATTTAAGCTTTGAAACACCACAGAACTTATCTTTCCTTTTTTTAACAAAAACCTATCAAACACATTTCAATGTGAGAAAGAAAAAAATATGTAAATTCAACAGAGTGGCAGAAACTTTTAACTTCTTGGGGCTTCTTGTTCATGTCTTGTTGCTTCATTTCACATGCAGCCTGTACACCTTCACCAAAAATGCTTAGCAACAATTTACCTTCTCCCCCTCCTCCCGCCGCCCACCACAGACCATTCACTCAGAGTAGACAATATAAACTTTTCCACCTTATTTCCACAAAAATACATATTTGTAGATACCGACTTAATGCCCAGGTGACCTCTCCATTTAGTAATAAGCCAGGACATGTCAACCTCTTCCTCAGGAGGAAGCAACACAGCATAGTTGGCTGACATAGTAAATGCCCTCCAAGCTCCCCCATCCCCTTGAGAAAAAATATGGCTGTACTGAAAGGAACAACAACACTTGCATCTACTTCTGCAAGAAATATTTCACCCTCTCTCTACACTGTAGGAGCACTTTTTAAAATAAGACTCCCATAGGACAGATAAGATAGAATCACCACCTATTTTCTCCAGAAAGACATCTGTCCTCTGTCACACCTTTTTACTTGAAATCTGTTTAGTTTCTGATGTAATGCTAGCAGTGGAATTTAATTTGCACCCAACCCACAGACATACATTAAAAACAATCACTGAATGCTGCTGACACAGGCAGTGGCCTTTTCTAGATCTATTCAGATTGCATTTGAGTTTGAACGAGGATGATATTAATCAAAAGTTGTCACTGTTCTTTACTCTTTGCCCCTATCCTGAAAATATGCATGTGACGGAAATTATTCAAGTAGAAAAGTCTCCTGGGCATCCACAGGATGAATTACTTGAATAAAAAGTTACTCATATACATGTTTACAGAATCAATTTACTAGTTTTCCCTACACTTATTAAACTTAGTGTTTCTAGTTTTCTTAAATTCTGCCATTTCCAGGACAAGATAAAAAGAAAAAGCTGTAACATATGCTGTGAAAATCAGCACCCGCACTAAGCTTACACAAGAGCAAAAAGGGAAAATGTCAGCAGTAACCAACCTGTGATCCTCTGGGTCCTCGTTTATGGTCCCATTCTGAATGTCCCATGAGCTAAAAAGAAGAAAGCATAGGTTAGAGCAAATGATGCCTTATGCTGATTTGCTAAAAGGGAGTTGCATTTTTTGTGTGGTAATTTACAGTTTTTCTTTTAAATTACGTAAGTTTATTATTTTCCGATTTAGTGAATACACTTTCTAGCTATTACTTTTTAAAAAACACAACTCTGAATTTATTATTTGAATTCCACATTTCAACAATCATTAGGACTATATCACACCTACCCCCACACAGGCAAAACAGATTGTGCTCATGGAGGTAAAATTCCCATTGACATAAATTAAGATTTGGCCAGATGCTCAAAAAGGACCTGGCAAGAAACATGCTGATAAATCAATAACCAGATTATCAAGAGCCAAGTTTTGGCAAAATGCCAATGCAAATTTTATACACAGAGAAACTAGCAACTCCAGCAAGTCTATGACAACTAATAAAGTATTTGGATTTACAATACTAAAATACACTATAATACAAAAGCAGAAGTATCCTCCCTGAGAGAGAATGTGTTTAGGTCACTCCACTATTTTAGAGGAAAAGTATTTGTGAATCAGATGAGGTGAGTTCAATGGGCTTTTCTACACTATTTCTGATTTACATTTCTAACTGAAATTAAGATTTGTGATGCTATACAACTGTTTATATAACAGAGTTAAAGCTTCATTTATTTTCTGTGGTCCAAATGCAACTTGTATGACGTATGTCAAGCAAGTGGCACATGGGTACAATCACCAGATGGAGGATGAACAGACTTTGCCATCTGTCCATGCAGCCTCAGTAGAATTAAGCTTCCTGCATTTTCTCCGTTTTACCTTAAAAATTATATATGAACACACTAAAAACACATGGAACCCACATTTGTAGGATTATTTTATAGATTATGGAATCATAAATCGAGGATGTCTTGGGAATTCATTACTATTTTGGACCACTTATGAATATGGTAATTGACCTGTAAATTGTTAATTTACCAATAGGAAGAATAAAGGCGTGTTTCATGTCCAAGCTGACCTTGTGTACTCCAAAAATCAAGAAAACAAGAGCAATTGTCTGTTACTCATACCAGCATAAATGCATTCAAATATATGAATATGCATGTGTAATAGAGCAGGATAAATATAGGGTGAACACTTTAGTTAATTACAACAATCCCAAATCCTTTCATTTAGTCTTCAGTTCTCACAGTTTCTCCCTCTTTCCAAGTCTCTTCCCAAAACATAGTGCCACAACCAGAATTCCTATACCTAATCCAATAGTAGCTAAGCAGGTTTTTACCCTCTTATTCCTTTGTGCACACTGAATACTGAGACCACAGGACAAAATGCTGTAACTCATTTTTTTTAGGAAGCAAAAGGAGGCATGCGCAGAAATTCTTATACACTTCATCAGCTGTTCCTACTCCTTTTCTTCAAAAGGCAACTTCATATTTATGCTGCAATCTATAAACAATAGGGGTGTGCAAAACAGGCAGTATTCAATTCGGATTTGGCCCAAATCAGGGACAGTGATTCGATTAATTTATTCGGATCACTGTCCCAATTTGATTTGGCCGAATCCAAATCTGAAGATTCGATCCTGATTTGGAGAATCAGCGATTCAGCCATAGCCTTAAACGTTTTTTTCTATGTACCTCAAGGTACCAGGTACAGCTTGTGAACACTGCGATGGTGGGCCGCATGGAGTATTCCATAGGAGTGCCCCCTCCCCCCACCCATGTGCTCAACAGCAAAACCAAAAGTTGACCGGAAGTACTTCCAGTCCACTTCTGGGTCCACTGCCAAGTGCGTGGGGGACCCCCCCTCTGTGCCCCCCTGGCTTGGCAATTCAGCACAGGGGACCCTAGGTGTCCCCCCCAGACCCAGGAGGCACCAGTTGTTGAGCCAGGGGGTGGGTCTCCCACATGCTGCCCGGTGGACTCAGAAGTGGACCAGAAGTGCTTCTGGTCCACTGCTGAGCATGCTAAGGACCTCCCCCTCCCCGCACGCTCTCGTGGGACGCTCCATCCGCTCCAGCACTGCAGCATTCACAAGCCACCTGGTACCTTGAGGTACGTAGAAAAAACATTTAAAGCTGTGTCTATGTCCAAATCATTAAATCTCTCCGATTCGATTCGGAAGGTTCTGATTCTATTCGGAGAAATTAAAGGGTCTTCCGATTTGATTCAGATTTGGCTGCTGAATCGGGCCGAATCTCTGCTAAATCGAATCAGTAACCAAAGCTTTGCACAACCCTATAAGCCACCCTTTCATGAGCACAATCACACACTGAGATACCTCAGCCTGAATCTACTCCTGCCCAGCACCTGCAGTTTATTTCAAGCTTGTCTATACAGACCTCCCATTTGCAAGCTACAGCTGGCCATCCACCAACCATGGCCGCTGTGCTACCAATCCGGTACTCCTTACTCCAGTACTCAATATGTAAGCCCCAACTCCCAAACAGCTCAGCCTTCTCTCTGTTGCTAGTTCCCAGTATGCCGCCTCTGACCCTGCTTCTGCTCACAGGCAGTCTCTGACTTCCTCATAAGCCAGGTTTCCCCAGACTCTGGCAGTACTTCCTTTTCAGGTACTGAATGGATTCTAAAGTTCTCTCCTGGCTAGATGCCAGCAGTCATTTTGGCAAATTTTATTAGCAAACATCTGTGACTCCTAATAGCAAACTTAAGCATCCTTATGCATTTCAATAATCTGCTATGCTATCACAAAAGAAATCTTTTCGTTGCTGCCATAACTGTTTCCACAATGCATGGTGTCCATAACAAATATTGATCTTTTTCTACACTTCAGATATTTTTTTGTATTAATACACTTTGCAAAACACAGTGGTGCATCTGCTGGCAGGAAATAGAAATTCCAGTTTAAGAGACTTGTATAATTATAGAGCACTGCATTGCTTGTAAACAAATGTATAGTCCTAGAAGTTGCACTTACAAAATCAACACTATTTTCTTTTATAAGTGCCTGCATTAATATTTTGTTTTTCCTCAAAATACAGAATACTGATTTTTTTCCCCTCTTCTCTGAAGCTGAAACTATTTTTGTTCACATCTTGTCCCAAAGAAAACAAAACAAGAAAAAATAATCACTCCTGTTCAAAGGCCTTGAGTTTTATAAAAATGTACAAATGAAGTAGCTATAGCACAACTTTCCATAATGCTTCTGCAAGTGTGGTACCTTTTTATAATGACTACAATGGACCAATAGACTAGATGCCACATTGTTTACCTCTGTAAGTCACACTTTGCGAGATAAGTTCCAAAGCTTGAAAAGATTTCCTTTCAATAGGCAATCAGTGAGTGCTCAAATATAATACATAGAAAACCAGCAAAGCAATTATGCTAGACTATCAAACTGCTCAAAATTCATTGTGTCTACAAGCTTAACAGAAATCAGGATGAAGAAAATGAAACAGCTTTTAAAATGACACAGTCAGAAAAATGCAGAGCCTGGATTAGTCTATTTTAATCTTTTTATATTTTAACAAGTGATGTAAATACAGCTTTTATTTGATCAGTGCATAGTAGAAAATGAAGATATATACATAAGAATGGATTTTTAAGTGGCAGGATGCAAGTTTATAAACTTCAGTGTTAAAGGATAGGTTTATTCCCAACTCCTCTTTCAAAAAGCTGCTATATTGGATGCAGAATTGGATCCAGTAGAAGGCCAAGGGGCTCTTAAGCCAGACAGCTACAGTACAAGGGCTGGTCAAACTCACCATGATGAAATAAATGTTTCATTCCTCACCACTTCCTCTCAAGCAATGGGAAAACAAATATACAAAGAACGTGAAGCACAATCTGCCAACGCTTACCATTTCTGTTAGTCTCACAGGGAGGTCAGTCCCTTCTGAATCTTGAACCCAAATATACCCCAGATGCTAGCCATTTGGCCACGTTCACACAAGCATGCACATGTGTTTTGAAGCACCTCAAAGGTATTCCGGTTTCATTGGCTAAGTTCAGAAAGTCAAAAAGCCTGAAGATGAATCATTTCAATTAGTTTAAGCTGCAAAGATTGAACCAATAAGCAAGTAAAGACATTCACTTTTGATTCCAGAAATGCAGCCACATGCCTGCAGTGGCCCAAGCCAGAAGCTGGGGGACACTAGAGCATGCCTCCCTGCTCTGCTGGAGCACACAGCTTGGGCCAAGGCTAGCCCACCTACCCTGCAAAGCATCCCAAAATGCTGGGGGACTGTGAGTTAACTTGAATTGGGAGGATATCTGAGATAGAAGCGCAATAAATTGACCTAATATAAATCGATTAAGTCTGATACTACATCCATCCATGTTTATCTTAAACTGGTTTTAGGCATTTTGAAAGCAGTTTATGAGCAACTAAACTTCTGTTGTGTTACAGATTTGAACCAGTTTCCAATCACTTATATCAGTTTGTGTGTAATTTCTTTCCCTGGTCACTGTGATGAGAGGTGGGATCTTTAAATAAATGGTGTGCACTTTCTGGCTTTTTTTATGGATGGGATTTTTTTTTTTTTTTAATGGAATTCATGGTTCATAGGCAGACAAGGTTCCTTGGGTGAATTTGATATCTTTTATTAGACCAACCTAAATCGTTGGAGAATAGTTATTAAGCAAGCTTTCGTGTTCAAAAACCCTTCGTCAGGCTAAGGAAGTTTCAGCAGTTGGTGTGTGCTCTTCTTGGATGGTTCATTGGCAAGAGTTTTTAATGACTTCTTTCACAGGCTGCCTGTAAATTTACAGACAGTTAGCAACCATGTCTTGGAGGCTGTGCTGGTAAAATGTGAAAAAGCACTATATAATTTGACTTCCACATCCAGAAAGGGAGGAATCTTCATTCACCCAAAAGATTAGACCATAAATAGCCTGGTAAACCAGCTCTAACACAACATCAGCTATTGGGCAAGGCCAAGACAGCTTTCAACAGTAAGAACATTTGTTTTGTATAGAGAAATGCTTGAAAGTATAAGGCGAGGAAAAAGGTTTTAACTAAAGGCAATTGACCCTCTCAGCCCTG